CGAGTCGGGCCCACTAGTTCGTGGGTCGAGACGAGCTGAGTCGAGCCCATGAGCCGCTCGCGAGCTCGTATTTTTTTTAAATTTTTTTGCACATTTTTTGTAACTTTTTTTTAAAAATTTTCAATTTTCTGGACGAGCCCACGAGCTGTGGGCTCGTCAAAACGTCTCGTGGGATCGAGCCACCCACGAGCCGAGTTTTAACGAGCCGCTCGACCCGTTTGACATCCCTAATTGGTTCTCAAAATAGTATCGATAATCGAATCGGAACCGATATGTTCTTGCAAAACTCTTGATTTTAAACATAGTTTGTTTAAATCTTCATTTTGTTGCATTCACGGTATCTAACTTTCTAAAAACTCACACTTGGAGTCCAAATGAATAATTTCTATTAGTTTGATAGTTAATTGACTCAAAAAAATAATTTCGACCAATTTTAAAGCGCAAAATTATAAATTTGAATTAAAATAAAACAAAAAACAAAAAATATATATATTTAAAAAAAAGCCAACCCCAGCCCGACCCAAAAAAAAAAAAGGGTACCATTCACCATCTCGTTCACACCCCACCTCAAATTAACACACAACCATCACAGTCGTATAAAACTCGCCTTCTTGTCATGAATTTCATCATCCAAAATCACAAGCCACTATTAAATCAATCAAGAAACATTTTCTTTCCATCAAGAATTTCAAAGTGAATGTGATCTACAATGGCGGAAACCCACCTTACAGCCACACACAGCCTCTCAGACCACCACCGATCGACTCCTACACAAAGACACTAAATATGATGGTGATGGTTCAACAAAATAGGGCCAAAATATCATCGAATTTTCTGGGATTTCGCATCCAAACACGTGAGAACAAGGGCTCTCATATTCAATCCAATAGTTTCCCATTGTTAAATCTACAAATTCACCTGCACAAACTCATATGCCTACTTAGATGACAGTGGGTACATAATAAATTGATCCGATTGTTGCTCAATTGCCTCATAATTTGATCCCCAAAGTAGCGACTGTGGTGGTTCTGTCAATTGCAATTGATGGCCAAAATGTTGTTCTTGTTGGAAAAAAATGAGTAAATTACTCATTTTGGCACAATTTTCAATCGGATTCGTTGGTCTAATTTGAAAGATCAAAGTTGATCCGTGTAGTCCAATTTGAAAGATCAAAGTTGATCCGTGTTCTCTTCCGTGAGAGTATCAAAATCATATATTTACTTGTCAAAAATGAAGCTCGGGTGGATGAAAAATTGGAGCCCAAAGTTGATCATTGGAAGATTGTTTATGTGGAAAAATTGAATTTGTCCCATGTAGGAAAACGAAAAAAGCATGAACCACTTTGTATATGGCTACACTTTGAAAGGGTCTAATAATGTGTAGTATAGAGGCTATTTCCATGTGCGTGCGCAGAGAGTGCACATCACGGATCGAAATAGTCTTCGAGCCTTGAACTTGTGTGCATGTGTGTCCTGCATACACCAATGTCGGATTGAACGGAACAAAAATTGGCCCGTTTGAAGTGTCCACGTTTTGCAATTTTTTTTTTGCTTTATTCAACTGACTTTTGAGTTTCTGAAATTATTAAAACTCCAGTATAAACTGAAGTGACTCCAACGTTTCTAGCCATAGAGTTAATGACATATTTATCTTATATTAAAACTTATTTCTAGCAATTCCAAAAACAACAGAAAATACACGAAAATACAGTCTGCATACACGAAAATATAGTGCATATTATTGTTCTGTCTGCATTCGTCTTGGTGGTATTGTGCGAATACTAACTCAGTTTGTCGAAATAGTTTCTGCAGTGCTCAGATTTTACTAGTTTACCGTTGTATTTTAGGAAAGAGGCGCTTGAATTAAATCTCAAGCACCTACGGTAAGGGGGCGAATCTGTTTTAAGAAAACTGTACTCGCACATGCCTTGGATTGAAATTTCATCCGTTATTTAATATTTCTGAAATTTATTCGTACGCTTCATATAATTTGCAGTTTACTATATTGTCGTTCTATTTATGTTTATTAAAAATTTATCTGCGTTATTTGGCTAACTAGATTAATTTGATCAAATTAATTTGTTGATTCTATTGCAATTTAATAAATTTACTATATTTTATCTTATTCATTGCATATACGGTATATGCAAATATGTTAATCTGTTGCATATACAGTATGTTAGTGGAAATACGGTATGCTGTTACAAATACAGTATACTGCATATACAGTAAACTGTTAATACGATAATCTGCATATACGGTAATTTATATATACGACATACATAAATCCACCATGCAACTACACTAAATTTCCAACAGTTCTTCCGTCAACTGTGATCCTCTGGTGGCCCAAGGGGCCTCCTCTTGCTTTGTGAGAGTTGAAATGCTGCCAAGTGGTAGCTTGACTATTTACATCGTAGGTCACATTGATTGGAAGGAGATGATGAATTTAGGAGAGGGGCTGTGGTAAACAATACCTTCTTTTTATTTTTTGGGGGATGGGGGTGGATTGGCTTTTTCTTGTTTTGTTTTATTTTAATTCAAAGTTACAATTTAATTTCTTGAGTCGATCAACGGTTTAAACTAACAAAAATCATCCATTTGAATTTCAAGTGTTAGCTTTTAAAAGGTTTGGTAACGTGAATGCAACAAAATGAATGTTTAGACCAAGTCTATTTAAAATCGAAAGATTTAATAATGTGATTGCAATTTTTCCTTTTTGAAAAGAGTAACTTTTAAGTTAAAAGACATTGATCGTACTATTCGACACCGGTCACCGACATCGATCGTACTACTATTCAACATTGGTCACCACGTGATCTTGCATATTAAGTCGCAATTATGTAGTCCATTAAATAATTAGGAAACAAGAAGAATAATTAGTGAAGCTTCAAGATGCATGCACCAACATCATTAACAAAATAAAAAAGCATATAATATATCGAGACATACCTCGACAATATTTATATTGCGTGCAAAGCGCAAGTAATTTATTTTTATGGATGTATACATTGCATCTAATACTATCCCATACAAAAACCATTAAACATAATCTAAACAGCCTTAATCCAGATTAACATAATCTAATCTTAGGATTTGATTAATTAATACTGTTCAGAAGAACAGATTATTGTGTGCAAAGTCCTCCATCATCCAAAGATCAACCGAGTCGACTGACTCAGTGTTGACAAACTGAGATGGCTCAGCTGGTTCCAATCCCAACAACGATTCCAAGCTTGAAATTTCATCCTCCAACTCAAAAGATTGACTAGCCACCGCCTGGGTTGGGTAGTAAACTTCTTGTTGCTGGGTAGTCTGAATCCCGTAATCCATTAACGGGTTTGGCTCAGTATTGACGCACAGCCGCTTGGCCGGTGGCTGAACGGGCGGGGTTGGCGGAGTCGACGGTGGTGAATTGTTGGAAAAGTTGAGCTTGGCCTTGTCTCCACGGATGCGCTTGGCGGCGTCATCATAGGCCCTGGCTGCTTCCTCCGCCGTGCTGAAGGTTCCGAGCCAGACTCGAACACCCTTTTTCGGGTCACGAATTTCAGCCGCCCATTTCCCCCATGGCCTTTGCCTTATGCCTCTGTACATATTCTTCCTTGGCCTTGGACAGTTCTTCTGTTCAGCCTTATCATTTGTCCCTACATAGAAAAACCTTAATTTTTACTTGCATCTTGAAAGTATTTCTGGGTGCTGATCTACATAAAATGAACAAGGATTTGCAGAAACGCATGTATACATACACAAAACACGGAGAGAGAAAACTCACCATTTTTTATTTTCTTGGGCTTGTTGATGGGTAGCAGATCCTTGCCATTAGAGGAATTGAAGCCCCAGAACTCAGAAATTGTATCAAATTCGGCCCATAATTCTTCTGTGGTTAATTTTCCTCTCTTGTTGATGATGGGTTCATCGGAAATAATTGCACCTCCACACATTTTTTGTGTGTGTTCAGTTCTCGAGAAGGTGATAGATACAGAAAGAAATCTGTATGACTATGTTAGAGAGAGGGAAGAGTGTGTGTGGCTTTTCTTCATTTATAGAGAGAGACGGTTACAACCTTTGAGAGAAGGACAAGACTTTATTTTGGATTTTAAGATCGGACGGTGGAAATGAAATCAGATAAATCGTACGTTGGAGTCCACACATTTTTTGTGTGTGTTCAGTTCTCGAGAAGGTGATAGATACAGAAAGAAATCTGTATGACTATGTTAGAGAGAGGGAGAGAGAGTGTGTGGCTTTTCTTGATTTATAGAGAGAGACGGTTACAACCTTTGAGAGAAGGACAAGACTTTATTTTGGATTTTAAGATCGGACGGTGGAAATGAAATCAGATAAATCGTACGTTGGATGATTAGGGTAGTGGGGGCCCATTGAGGAGATATATTGACCGTCTACGTTAAAAGAGCTTTCAGCAAATTTTGATTCGACAAAGGTGAAGGTTCGATCGAAACTAAATCGACGTTTTATATGTGAATCCGACATCTTTATGACTTGAATGAATCTAATTAAAATTTGATTTTACGTTAAAGTAGTAACTGATCAAAGAAGAATCTACTTTATTCACGCAATACTTGAAATTTGTTTTCTCACGCTATTTACGAGTTTACACACGTCATACGTTTCTACTATCTGTATTGCAATTGATCGGAAGATTATGACAATAATGAAATAAATAAGAACATCAAAATTTATATGGGAATTCAAGAAGGAATGAATGAATCTAATTAAAATTTGATTTTACGTTAAAGTAGTAACTGATCAAAGAAGAATCTACTTTATTCACGCAATACTTGAACTTCGTTTTCTCACGCTATTTACGAGTTTACACACGTCATACGTTTCTACTATCTGTATTGCAATTGATCGAAAGATTATGACAATAATGAAATAAATAAGAACATCAAAATTTATATGGTAATCCAAGAAGGAAAAAATCCACGGGTAGATGATAAAAAATTCACTATAATCAATAGAAATTGTGTTTACAACAAGATCTCAATACTTTCAACTAAAAATTAAAGTTCTCAAAATGTTATATGAATGTTATTTAATCAATACAAGTCGTGATTTATATATATAAAACCCTAGAAATCAGGTTGTAGATAAATAAGAGTTCAAAACGCGTTAAAATGCGAATACTCGGGAAACATTGTCTCTCGAGTTGCAGTCAGGCGACGAGTGAGCAAGAGCTTTCCGTTGAGAATCCGTTGGTGTCACTCAAGCAACAGACTAGAGAACATGAGGTGATAATTTTTTCAATCCATAAGTTTGATTTCTCTAAGACGACTTCAAATACAACTCCTATACCCACTAGAATTTGGATCAAATTACAACACTATCGTACCACGAGACTCTTGAGAAATACAAGTCCAAAAGGAATAGTCATAAAATTTCGATTAGCTAAAAATTAAAAAATAATGTTACTTGTACATAATAAAGTTACAACTTGTACATAAATAAGAGTCCAAAACGCGTTAAAATGCGAATATTCAGGAAACATCGTCTCTCGAGTTGCAGTCAGGCGACGAGTGAGCAAGAGCTTTCTGTTGAGAATCCGTTGATGTCACTCGAGCAACAGACTAGCGAAAATGCGATGATAATTTTTTCGATCCATAAGTTTGATTTCTCTAAGACCACTTCAAATACAACTCCTATACCCACTAGAATTTGAATCAAATTACAACACTATCGTACCACGAGCGTCTTGAGAAATACAAGTCCAAAAGGAATAGTCATAAAATTTCGATTAGCTAAAAATTAAAAAATAATGTTACTTGTATATAATAGAGTTACATAATAATTTATATACACGTGATGTGTTAAAAATAGTGTAAAATTTACACACACACACACTTATTTATTTATTTATTATTATTATTTTTTTTGAAAAATTTCTAAATCAAACATATTCCACCACATTAGCATAATCGAAAAACTAATATTACATAACCCTTGTTTGATGGAAATTGAAATTAAATTTTGAATTAAAATTTAAGTCAACAATTGTTTTGAACCATACATAATTTTATGGAACCTATAACTTTTCAACCACATATTTCATTAACTTTTATCAAAATTTACTAAAAATAATTTTAATCCCCACAATAATTGGATCGATATTTTACTTCAATATTTACCTTTTTTTAGTGAAAACTTACTTTTTCTCTAACTTTACTTTGTATTTGTTGAGCTCTAAAATAATATACTCTCTTTGATAAGTACTACTGGCAAAAATATAAATAACGAACCTCGTTTTGATGGCTTGGTTGAACACTAATTCGTCACATATTGCATGTCCTAACACATATAGATATAAATAGTACAGTAGGAACCAATTTTTCGTAAAAGTTCAAAAATTAATAAGCCCTTGTTGGCTGGCGGCCATTTTTTTTGGAAAAAAAAATATTGTTCTGAATAGTGAATTTTTGGATAATGTGTGGCTAAAAAGTAGGAAAAGATTTTGAATTTACGTATAAAATATTATATTATGTGAACATGTAGTAGAAAATGAGTGTGTAAAAAAAAAAGTGTTTTGCAAGAATGGGAGAAAAAAAAGCTAATCTTCCTTATAAATCGAAAAATTATTATAAATTAGAAAGAAAATAGAGAAGATAATAGATTTATGTGAATTTATTGTGGACCAAAATTCTATATTACGGAAAATAATTAGGACCGAAGGAGATACAATAGTCATAGTAACAAGAGTTGCATGGATAGAAATAGAATAACCATTCACGAATTAGTATATAATTTACAACATTTCTCATTAATGACTCATTACCCAATATCCATTTTGTTTAAACCTTGTTTGAAATAAATCTAGTAGGAAAAACATCAAACGAAAGAAAAAAAAAATAGCACATTTATTTTTGGAGGATTAAAAATAAATGTTATCTCATTAAATATTGCAAAAAAATAAAAATCCAATGAGATAAAACCAGAGAAGGAAAAATGGTGCATTTACTTTTCATAATGCTGACCATTAGAAATCTTTTGAGTCAATGAATTCATATCTCGTGCCCCAATTTTTTGAATAAAAATGTCGTCAATACTTTTATGAAAAAGTTAGCCTCATTGTTGCTTGGACGAAATTTTGGACATCGATATTTCCAGTCTTTTGAAACTCACGTGTATGAAAAAATTTTGAAAAAATATGCTTTGTCTTATCATCTCTAATATAATCTCATTTGAGTCGTGCAACATAACTGCATTGTTCTCATATAATATATTCACATAATCATGTTTGACTTTAGCGAATACAATAGTTAAAAAGAAATTTTGTTGCTATCTTCGAAAGTCTTGTATACAAGTTATAACATATGAGAGTAAAATCATAAAGGGTCTGTTTGACGGCATTTAAAGTTTTAAATTGTTTACTACAATATTATTCTCTACCACACATTTACACAATAAAATATTTTATATGCAAACTAATAAAATTTCTTTATTTTTTAACCACACATTCAGTAACATATATTATTCAAAAACTTTATTTTTTCAAATAATGGGTGATAAACAGAGGCAAAGTTATATATATGGATAGTAAATATCTAGTAGGTCATGGGTATTTATTAAACAAATAATATGCTTCATTAAAATCTTTCGTGGAAAAAAATTCATTAAAAAGTAGCCTCATTAAAATATTATCAGAAAAATTTAATGAGACAAAACCTTGATCAAGAAAAAAGAGTAAATCGCATAACTACTTCTACCACGATAATATTACTTGAATTATATATTTCAGACATTTTAAATCATTTAGTAATGTATTAATAATCAAGCCAGATGATTTGACCATAGCTATGCACATCAGCTTTCATGTATTGTCAAGGTAATAAGATATAAATTTTTGATAACATCTAGCATGAGATAATTTGTCTATTTATATAAGTCTTTATAAAATTTATGTTAAGAGTCATGACTTTCTTTTGCTAATTTTCTTTTTCGCATAAGTATACACCTTTAGACGATCTGGATTCTAGGTCCGAGAACTTCAAGTTTCTCGTGTAAGTTCAATTTCGTTAAAGTTGCATCATTTTATTTAGCCAATTATTTCTTCGTAAGTTTTCCTCAATGGATTTTCTTCAATATTAAGCTTCTAACGATAAAACAACAAAGAAAACTAGGATGTCGGCACAATACCTAAGAGCGATGCTCTATTTAAAAAATTACAATCTCTAAGTGAAAATGGAAATTAATGTAAACGTATTTCACATTTGAATCCATCTTGTTTATGGCTTAAAATTAATCTAATAAAATTTGATTTTCATTACATTACATTACATTACATTCTATTTTTCTCTCTCCTATTTTCAACCACACAATCTTCCATAAAATAATATTACACGTAAATCGAAAATTTTTCTTTCTTTTTCAACCACTCATTTTTCAAAAAATACTATTCTATACATTAAATTTTCCCCGTAATGGAGGCCAAACAGGGGCGTAATTGATCAAACAAAGATTCTACTTAATTCACGTCACATTTTTTATTCATTTTTGTCACGTTATTTTTTAGTTAACACGTTACACTTTGGTCAAACTATTCTACCACCGTACCACTAGACTTTTGAAAAATACAAGTCAAAAAGGAGTAGCCATGAATTTCCGATTGAAACAAGCTACTCAATTAGGGATTAAAAACAGGAAAAAAAGGGATGATTTGAAAGAATGTGATTGAGTGTTTTTGTATCCTTATTCTAATGTCCAATGAAAACTTGACAAGTGTTGTCTGGAAAAAAAAAATTTATTATTAACTCTGACCGTGTAGCATGATTGTTTCCAATTAGCTAAATATTAATATTATATAATTATATCTACATTTACTTTTCTTTTTAGTTGAAACTTAACTTTTTCTCGAATTTTACCTTCTATTTGTCAAGTTCTAAAATAAGCTACTCAAAAAAAAAAAAAAAAAAAAAAAAAACCTAAGTGAAAAAGAGTATAGTTAATTTTCAAAATTTGAAGTACTAAAATGCTACATTATTGAAGCCTAATGGGGGAACATTTGAGCCAACAAAAAGGAGTATAGTTACAGCCCCCTATTTCACTAAGGGTGCGTTTGATTACAAGTAGGAAAATTATATGGAAAGAAAATGAATTCCAGGGAATTGAATTACCTAGAAATTGTTTTCATGGAAATTGTAAATTATTGTGTTTGATTGTATAAATTTTTCACGTGGAAATGTTGAAGTAAAAGTATTTTTTGATGTTCGTTTGACCTTGTTTTACGTGGAAATTGTCAAT